AAATGATAAAGTATAATATGATTATAAAATATATTATATGTTATATGCATGCACATTGAATGTCTCAAAAACATATAAACTAATGATGTATTGAAACAGTAAATTTAATATGTAATTTTAATTGTTCTACCATATTTATTATAAGTTTCAATAGATATTAATGCCAAATTTTTGTAAGAGTTTCAAGTCATATTTAATACAATAATATTCTTCTTTATGACACACCAATATACTTATCATAATGTATGAAAATACTTACGAGTTATTTTAACTAGCATGTTATCATATTACTTAGTAATTAATTTAGAGTTATAAGTTAGGCATATAAATAACATAACAATATAAACTTGAAACGTTTTGATTATTATGCCTAGTAAAGTATCATAATAATAGCTAAATCAAGTTATATATGCAGTAATTAAATTATCGATCAAAGATTTATGCAAGTCCTATTATAGGTGTTATAAACATATAAATGTATTTAGGAATTAATTTCGAATTAAGTAGGTCTCAGTTGGTTAGAGACTCGTGCTGATAACGTGTTGTAAAATGAGAGCAAAATATAATAATACTAAACAATATAGGGAGACAAATGGTGATGGAAAGTATAAATCTCTTCAAGTGTATATTTCGTAAGGGTAAAGAAGACCCTTTTATAAGAGGTAGAAATCATCCGTTTACTACCTTAGCTAAAATACGTTAGTAATCTTTAAATTCTTACATTAAATTAATACATGCATTACGTTAGGTTGATGAAAAGAAACATCCATATTAAATGGATTTGTAACAATTATAATAAATTATACCAATAGTGCAGAGAAAGATAAATAAAATATTTAAGATCTATTTTTTTAAAAAAGAAATTATAAATCAAAGGAAAGAAAATAATTAAGGAAAAAGAGATATTTTGAATAAGAAAAATTAATCATGAAAATAATGAGGAGAGATCAACAAGAATTTTTATTTTTAAAAACTATAAAAATAGAAGGTGGAAAAAAGTAAATTGTAGTAGTAGTAATGATGAGGGGAGGTGAAGAGAAATAAATAAAATATTTTTAATTTTTTTTATTTTTTTGCAGATTTTATAAATCAAAAGATAGTAAAAAAAAATTTTAAAAAAAAGAAGAAGATAAATGATAATTCTGACCAAAGTGAGGTTCTACATCAGTCTTTTATCCTCCACCTTTATATTTTCCTAAATTGAGATATGAATCATTAATTATAGTACTAAATAATGATTAATAAAAAAATTAATGTTTGTGCGTAATTGCAATACAAATTTAAAAAAATTCTTTTATCTTGTGTTGCAATTTATTTCAATTTTCTACATTGAATAGATGAATTTTCGATGAATATTATGTATGATAAATATTTAAAAAGTTATATTTTTTATACAAAATTTACTTCTACGACTTTGCTACTATAAACATTTAGCCCGATGACCATTTGTGTACTTTTCATTTTGTTCAAAAAATCAAACACATCATATAATATATTTAATACTGTATGATCCATTTTTTTCAAGTGCATCAACAATTCAGAAAAATGATTATGATTCAATTAAAAGAAAATATTTATTATTTTAAATTACAATTCTAATCAATACCAAAAAAAATTCACACTATATTGAATTATTTCAAACAGTTATTATTACATTGATTAAATTGTATTTAATAATAACTAAGAACTTAAAATTTAAATCTATTTGAATTTGAAAATTAGAAATGATTTTTAAAATATTTTTTATATTTAGATATAAGAAATGATTTATTTAAATATTTTTAATTATTTTTTTTCTCATCGCGCGAAGCGCGAACATATTCACTAGTTCTACCACTAAATAAGAGTTTTCTATCATATATTGAGAAAGATATACTTAGATATATGTATTTTTGCTACCAGATACACTAAAATAGGGAGAGAGGCAAGCGAGACAGGAAAGGAGGTGAACGAGATTTGTTATGTATCTCAGGTACATGTGAATCACTAGATACACACTAGATACATGTATATGTATGTATGTGGTGTGATTCGCATGTATGTGAGATACTAGATACATAGGAGAGTGACAAGCGAGATGGAAGAGAGGCGAGCGAGATTTGTTATGTATCTCAGATATATCCAAATTCACTTTGATACAATGTATCTAGAATAAATTACACCTAATTTTGACCTCATGTATTCTAAGATACATGTAGCTGGACGTATCTGATGCGCCAAAAGCTGATAAGATACATAATATTGCAAACTAGAGTGTATCTAAGTAATTAACTCCTAAATGAGATTTATGTAAGTTTTTTTTTTTTATAATGGAGGCTTTGAAAGCCACAACTAAGTGCTTGATTTTCGTTGTGTCGCAACGACACATTTGCATTTCATCAAAGAGATTTTGTTCCTATAGCAAAAATGAAAAAGAATTGTTGTTATTGTCTTTCTAGCTTCTACTCATGATCACAACATGCATTTAAGTGTCATCTCTCTAGGAAGATCGAAAGAATGTGTGTACAATCTTTGTGTTGGTAACGTATTCAATATTGCTTTTAATTTTTAATTTTGAAAATTTTATCTTCCACGCGTAAAGAAATGGATTTTGAACCCAAAAGTTAGTTCAAAAGAAAGGATTACCTAAGGCCATATAATGAGTCTATCTCTTTTTTATCTTATGTGGCACTATTAACACATTTAACATTTTCTTCCCTATGCTTTAGGGCACACAAATTTGTGGTGCAGACAAGTCTGCAGACAACAACCAATGGAGGAGTCATAGCAAAGGATAAAACTTGCATAAACAACAGTATTAAATAAAAAAAATTAATCAAATTAAAAGTTTTGTTTGAATTATTAAATAAACGGAAAAAAAATTTTGGCCAGAATTTGGCCAGAATGATATTTTATTTATGTTATTTTATCTTTTTAAATATTTTTATCCTTTTAACTTTAATACCTTTTAACTAAAAAATGAAAAAAATATCAGTTTATTTTAAAATTAAAAAAATATTATAATTTTTTTAATTTTACTAACCAAATTCTGACCAAATTTTCTAGCCATTTAGCACATTCCTAAATAAAATTAACAAAACAGTGTAAATTCCTCGAAAATGATGAATTTTAATCAAAGTTTGCTAACTTAACAAAGTAATTAGCAATTGGAATTGTATGTTAATACAATGAATCTAAAAGTTCAAACAATATTAATTTAACGAACTTTAAGAAGATATTTTACTAATTAAATGAAAAATACGATGTATTAGTAGATACACGAGTCAATGCTCTTTCCACATCAACTGATACAAATTTAAAAAATTCAGTCAATCTTATTTTTGAAATTGTACTCACATTAAATACTAAAGAAAATTATTGTGTTTTCCCCTTAAGTAACCTGATAGTGTAAAAAAAAAAAACTTCAGTACACAAAGTTTAAACTCATTAAGAAATGCAACGTTCAAATAAGAAGAGTTTTAACCATATCATATTGAATTGATTTGCATATCCACCTTAATTAATTAATGATAGGATCATTTAAAATATTTTGTTGAATCACTTACTAAGATTAGTCAAAGTCTTTGTACTTATAATTTAAAGATTAGATCATTTAGAATATTTATTAATCACTTACGAAGATTAATTAGTCAAAATCTTGTACTCATAATTTGAAGTCAAGATCATTTAGAATATTTTTTTGAACCACTTACAAAAGTCAAGAAACAATAAATCATTGTTTCCAATGGCAATTTACCTCTCTCTTTTAGTTTCGATTATAGTTCTTTCAAATGTGGTCGAGAGCTATAAATACGTCGCAAGATCGAACTTTACGATTGAGGTATAATTTATATATGTTTGGACATTTCAAATTTACAAAAAATGTAAACGTAGTCAACTATGAAACTTTTCTTCTTCGTACAAAAATTATTTCATTTCTCTATGAAGGTCTTTGTCCAACGAAATTGTTTTTTCTTAAGACTATTCATGGAGACTTATATGACTGTGTGGACATCTACAAACAACCAACTCTTCTGCATTCAACACTGGGCTCAGAAAGAATTAAGGTATACATTTTGTTATAGATATATTTTTACTTCTGAAGTATATATAAGTTTTGAATTAAGGTATATTCATTTTATTTAATGTGGAATGCAAAAACAGATGACGATCGCGAAGAAGCTTGAAAGACAAAAATTAAAAGCTATGGAGTCAAAAAGGGAAAACGAATCGAATGGTTTCAAGGCGGAGGAATATTGGTTAAATAAAAAAGGATGTCCAGTTGAAACTGTGCCGATACGTAAAATGACAAAGAAACAACTCCAAAGGGATCTAGATGCCTCCATGAGCTTGGGTAATCAGTACTTTGGATATAATTGGATTGATGTAAGTCTTCGATTACAAATATCTCTTTTTTTTCTTTCTTTTTACTAAAGGTCCTTAAAAATGTTAGTTAATTTACTTTAATCTAATCGGAGGCTAGGGCAAACTACCCCTTCAATAAATTTTGGTAATAAATTGAAACATAATAAAAGAAAGAAATAAGGGCCTCTAATTCTAAATTGGCAGATATATAGTTTAATTTGATATAGAAAAGGATGAAAAATATCTCTAATGTATGGCAAGTTAGACATTAAATGATATAAAATAATTTAAGTTCAGAAAAAATTTACCTCATAATTGAAAAAATCTTTTAAAATTTTATATTCTTTCTCTCTCTAGAAATTTTATTCAATTAACTTTTCCCAAATTTTATCCCTAAATCTTTTACTTCCCTTTTCTTCCAAATCTCTTTCTAAAAGTTGAGTAATATGTATGGCATTTATGAAGCTTCAATTCTATTTTTATAATATAAAAATCTTAGAATAAAAGATTCCTTGATGGGACCAACTCACTCTAAGAAGGATGGCATCGTTATATAAGTTTACCATTGTGTAGCAGTTTAGAAATATTTCTAATTTATATTTGATAATGAAACAGTCTTCTTTTATATACATTATTAAATTAAGGGATTGGCTCAAATATGCCATCGAACTTTCAGAAAAGGCTCATTTATGCCATCCGTTAAAAGTTTGGCTCATCTATGCCATTACCGTTTAAGAAAAGGCTCATTCATGCCATTATTTTTTAACGGTGGTTTTACAAAACCATTTTTTATACGTGGCCAATTATAATTCGGCCACATCATTATTTTTTTTA